CGGCTGAGGGCTGAGGGGCTCACTGCCCTCGCCCGAGGGCTAAGGGCAAGACTCCGCCTCCCTTGGATAAAAGCTAGGCTCCGCCTAAACGTCCGAGTGGAGGTTGATCGGACCTCGCCTCCGCGCCCATGATGTCCAAAGGTGGCTCCGCCAATTTTTCAAACTCGACAACCGCACTCTCGCCCTCATGATGATAGGCACAGGGGTAAGACAAGACATTCGAGTCAACCGCAGAATACCAAAGTTGATCGAGACCATGCCCTATGCCCCCCCAGATTCCAAATGGATACCGTCGTGGGCAAAATGATGGGACGAAATTTGCGCTTAGACCCTTCCCCAGCGTGGCGAGGTCACGAATAGTGTTGTGGCATGCTGCTCCTCGCCCCTCAGAGTTGTAGTGAATGCCGCCTTGACCTCCGGCGAAGAAGAACCCAACACGGACATATGACAACCACTACGTTCTAAGGGGGACTCCCTGTCTCATGGCAAACGCAACCGATCATCACACACCATCTTCTAAGGGACTCCCCATGGGGTCAGAGATCGACAACCCTATCCAACACGCCACCCGCGGGGGCAGGACGGGACACATCCACTTGCTAAATGAGGCCAGGGCGTGGCCTACGAAGATCAACAAACACACCACCCCTGACACGGTCTGCCACGTGATGCAGGGTAGGCGTGGGGAAAAAGGGAGACCCGGATTCTTCGAAGGACCTTCTATACTCTTGGTATTATCCTCTTTCTCCCATCTATAACCCCTGCTCCCCCTAGTCTATAAAAGGGAGGGCAGGGCTCCCCACTGGAGGGACCGACTTTTGACGGACAACTCACACACAAACAAACTCATAGAGAGCTCGGTTCGACACATCACGCACACAGCTAGGCCACCACCAGGCTCTTGGCATCCTTTCAACCCTTCCATCAGAGACCTAGGACCAGTCCATCTCTCAACCGTTTGTACCCCTGCTACGAACCTTTTTCGGTGCTAATAACACAAGCAACAACAGACTAGACGTAGGGACTTTCAGCCCAACCAAGATAAACCTTGTGTCCTTTAGCGCACCATCCTGGCCTAACGCGCATCAATTATAAATTTACTAGCCGGTGCTTGTTTGAAACACCGACACCAGTAGGCCAGCAGCGTTGGCCTCTTCCTTTTCAGCAATCAGGACTCAGGAGCCGAGCCGCCGCTAATGCCGCACTGCCGCAGCCCCGCACAACGTGAAGCGAATCAACGATCGGCCGATCGCTACTTCGTATAGACTTTCGTGAACGGCGAGACGCAGCGCCGCGACAAGGCAGCCGAGGGCCCGAGGCAGGGCTCGACGAGGACGACGAGTCGATGACATCTGAAGATTTATCTTGGTTATTGCTTTATGCCCTTTTTGTGATTTGTGAATCTTGGTTCTGAATCAGTTCATGTCTAAATTGTCTAGGCCCTAGGGTTTTTCCTTGTTCAAATTTTTTCTAGTACTTTGTACTCATATAGTTATGTTTTTCTTAAAATTTGGGTCAGGTGTAAGAATTTTAGAATGTTACCTAAGAAACATTTGTCAGGGGCTGCGAAAAGAAAACGAAAAAGACAAGAAGAACAGTTTGTTCAGTCACAACAAGGTGCTTTAGATAAGTTTTTTTTAGCTTCAAGTAGTACTGTGCATGATGACAACCTTATAGATGCACCTGATAATCAAGAAGAAGAGCAACAACAAGTTAATGATAATTTAAGTGAACAAGTTGATGCTATAGAGAATGAAAATTTACAGCCTTCCTCTCAACCTGAAAATTCAATTGATGATGTGCAACCTTCTATTCATGATGTCTTTGATCCTAGAACTTGGGAGAATCTTGATAATAAGGGTAGAGATATTTTGATTGAAAAAGGACCAGTGAGAGAATTGAATCTTGAGTTCCCTGTAGATGCTCACAATAGATATTTTTCATATGCTTACTACTCCAGAAAGTTAAGCAATGGTGAGGTGGTTGATAAAAAATGGTTGGTTTACTCTAAACATGTGGACAAAGTTTTTTGTTTTTGCTGCAAATTGTTCAAATCAAATCAGAACAAAAGTTTGGTAGCACACGATGGATTGAGGGACTGAAAACATCTTAGTTTAAGACTCAAGGAACATGAGAATAGTGTTGAGCATATAAGAAACATGAATACTTGAAATAAACCTAGGCTGAGGTTGAGCAAAAATAAAACAATTGATGATGATTTGCAATGAGAAATTGCAAAGGAGAGAGAGTGTTAGAGACAAGTTTTAGTAAGAATCGTTTCTGCTGTCAAGTTTCTTGCTAAACATAATTTGGCTTTCCGAGGGCAAAATGAGAAACTATATCAAGCTAACAATGATAACTTTCTGGGCACAGTTGAAATGATGGGTGAATTTGATCCTGTGATGCAAGACCATATTAGGTGGATTCAAAATAGTGAGATTCATCATCATTACCTTAGGCATAAAATTCAGAATGAGATGATTTATCTTCTTGCAGATTGTGTAAAACAAACTATATTAAAGATCATTAAGGATGCCAAGTATTTTTCTGTGATTTTAGATTGTACTCTAGATGTGAGCCATGAAGAACAAATGACTCTAATTATTAGGTGTGTGAATATATCGGGGAATGTTCCAAGGGTAGAGGAGTTCTTCCTATATTTTTTAAAGGTTGATGACACATCAGGATTGGGTCTTTTTAATGAATTAAAGAGTGCATTGGCCTCTCTTGATTTGAATATTGATGATGTGAGGGGTCAAGGGTATGATAATGGTTCAAATATGAAGGGGAAACACCAAGGTGTTCAGACGCGCTTGCTTGAAATTAATCCAAAAGCACTATATATGCCGTGTGCATGTCATAGTCTGAATCTTACTCTTTGTGACATGGGAAAATCTTACAGGTAAACTATTATTTCTTTTATATGTTATACATTGTTTTCATATAATATGCCATTATTTAGGATCTTCCTATTTGTGATATTTGAAATTTTGCAGGCAAGCTATTTCTTTTTTTGGCATTATCCAACGTATATACACCCTGTTTGTAAAATCTACCAAAAGGTGGAAGATTTTGGTTGAGAATGTCCCAAGATTGACAGTTAAGTCATGGTCTAATACTCGCTGGGGAATCCGAATAAAAAGTGTTCAAGCTATCAGATTCCAAACTCCTCAAATAAGATCAGCTTTAATAGTGCTAGAGAAGGCTTCAACTGATGATCAAATGGCAGTTAGTGAATGTCAATCTTTGATGAGTGCACTTGAGAATTTTGAATTTATAGTTGGTTTGGTTATCTGGCACGATATTTTATTCTCTATAAATAAGGTTAGCAAGAAGTTACAATTTAAAATTGTGAGTATAGATGCTACTCTCAAACACATTGAAGGTGTCATATCATATTTTAAGAAGTATAGAGATAAAGGTTTCACTTCTAGTATGGATACAACAAAAAATATTACATATAAATTGGATATAGAGCCAATATTTCCTACAAAACGTCAACAAAAGAGAAAGAAATATTTTGATGAACAAGATGACCAAGACGAGGAAATACAACGATCTGCTGTGGACTCCTTTAGACGAGAGTACTTCCTAGTTATGATTGATTCTGCAACTGCTTCATTGACTAGTAGATTTGAGCAGATGACAGCATTTGATAATGTTTTTGACTTCTTGTTCAACTCAGAGAATTTGAAATTCTTAGATGAAGCTGATCTTTGGTTGCGCTGCAAGATTTTTGTGGAAAATTTTTCTCATGATAACTCATCCGATGTTGAGATCAATTATTTTTTTCCAGAATTAAAGGTGTTGCAAGGGACTTTGGCAGATTCTTTGATGTTGGCGCCAGAGATTCTGAAGTTTGTTATGGATGCAGATTGCTATCCAAATATTTTAGTTGCCTATCGAATTCTTTTAACTGTACCTGTGACTGTAGTTTTGGCCGAAAGAAGTTTCTCAAAATTGAAGCTGTTGAAGAACTATTTGAGATCAACTATGTCACAAGAAAGGTTAAATGGTTTGGCTATGTGCACCATCGAGAAGGATATCTTAGACACTATTGATCTCGATACCATTCTTGATGATTTTGCATCAAGAAATGTCCAAAGAAGTATCTTTTTATAAGAAGCAGTGGATATGATGAGTTCTATTCTTCTTTAAGGTAATCGTATTAGTTCTAGAAGTACAAATATATTGCTCTTTTAGTCTACTATGTTTCTCGCTCTCGATAATTATCAGATATATTAAATTAAAAATATATTATTGAATTTATTTTCCCTATATAAGTAAAATTAGTCTATATATTCTAAAATTTTATGATCTAGAAGGGACCGTCGCGACGATTTCGCCAAGGCCTCAAAATCATAGGACCGGCGCTGGCGTCTATGCATTACGAAAAAAAAAAGAACTGAATCTGAACCATGGCTGCCGCACGGACAGGCAGAGGCCGGAGAGCAGTGCAGCCATGTGGGGAGGCGGGATCGCTAGCGTGGAGGTCTGGCAACCACCAGCGGGCAGCAGGTCCATGCAGCACGCACATTATCAGAGTAGCCATGCAGTTTGTGCCAGATGCTTTCGAACCGAAATATTTTGGCAGAGCACGGCACAGAGCAGTAACAGAGAGTGGTCAGAGCAATCGCTCGACAGACAGCGGATGAGAGTGGTCTATCCTTCGAAAACCATGGTGCGTGGTAGTGGTACATAGACAACATAATATATATATTGAGCTTTATTAAACAAACTTGCAATACACGGGAATGATTTGTGATGGAACATCATAACAGAGCGGCCATGAAACCATGTCACATGACAAAGTACAATTACTTGGTAACCCTATAGGCAAAGTTTATTTAATTATATATATAGATCAAATATATGTGCCCAAACATGAGCGAGGCGGGACCCCCCGGACGAGCCAGCCAGCCCACAGGGGACAAACTACGAATTTGGCATGCTTTAATCCATAGGAGTACATGCATGCGAATGCGATACGAAGCCTCCTTTTACATGGAATGGAAATACTGACCAGCAGGATCAGACCACGCAAATCCGACAGCCATGTTGCCAAACTGCGGCATCATCATGTCGCCACCGGCGCTGGTGCCGGCGCCGAAGCCACCACCGTGGACCAGCGCGCCAAGATCCCCGCCGGCCACCATCCAGCCCGCATGCGGGTGGGGTGCCTGCATCTGCATCGTCATGTCCCTGTGGCCGGTCGTCCCGGCGCTGTAAGCAGGCATCAGTGGCATGGACGACGGCGCCTGGGGCTGCAGCGCCGCCGCCACCGTCGCCGGGACTTCCTGTCCCATCCGCTGGAGTCGCTCGATGGCGTCCTTGATGCCCTTGAGGCGGCTCTCCACCATGCATCCGAGGCTGGCGATCTCCTCGACGGAGAGGCCCACGAGGCCGGGGCGGCGGCCGACGATGGCGTCGTGCAGGAGGAGCGTGGCCTCGCGCTCCCGGTTGTCGCGCTGCACCTTGTGCAGCTGCTCCCGGAGCTTGTCCATGCGCTGCTTGAGGAAGCCCTCCATGTCCAGCATCTTCTTGCACTGGTCCAGCTCCGGCACGGCCTTGAAGCGCGCGAGGACGTGCTCTGCCGTGGGGACGTCGGGCCACACCTCCGGCTGCGACTCGCCCTCGCCGTACACCACAACGCAGGTGTCGACGTCGCACAGCGTGGCCAGCTCGCTCGCCTTCTTCATCAGGCCCTTGCGCCGCTTCTTGAAGGTCCCGCGCCGGGTGGAGTCGTTGGCGATCCGGTGCAGGGTCACCTTCTTGCGAGCCATGGATCGGGCTCGGGCGCCTGCAGATCAGATCAAAGGGGAAATGATTAGGCGGCGGCTTGGTGCAATGGAAGGGAAGGAGATGGTGGTGGTTTTATAGCACGGAACTACGAGTGGAATGAAAAGGATACAGGTTGGAGCCGTTTCCATGATATGGAAACAAATTATGTGTGAGGATTTGCAAGATCGCAGGAATCAGTGCGTGCCGTCCATGCTTTTGTAAGCAAGATCCAAATCCAAATTATTAACAGCTCGATCCTAGGGAGAGCTTGTCCTGCATGGCATGGCGGGCGGATCGTAGCTCCCTCCATAGGCTCTGACGCCACACCACCGCCGCGCCGGTAAGACAATGAGACGGTGGGATGTTAAATTAATAAACAAAATAAAAACAGCAAAATTTATAGTTAACCCATACCTACGTCCATTCCAATCGAGTCCGGCGCAGGCATTTAGGATGTTTTGGTTCCCGAGTACCATGAGTGTCAATTTTTTTTTAAAAATAAAAATTCATCAACGGTGCTTAAAGTTTTCTTGAGGTGTCATCGAGGTCCCAAAAGTCCCGAAATGTATTTTTTTTTGTCCCTGAAGTTTATGACTTTCATCTATGTCTAAACTAGTGTTTACCTAACTTGCTATCCTATGTGACATGGATCTGATAGATGGAGCCCACATGTCATTGGCAAGGCTCCACCTTAATATGCCGCTAAAACTTTATATTATTTTTTGAACATCTTAACGACCTCAAATGACAACACTGAGCTAGGAATTTGTACATCTAATCGAGAGCTAAATTTATATACATAGTGTCTTTATCGGACATCTAATTGATGAGGCAGTTCCCCCGCCTACTAAAACAGAGTTACAATCTCTACTTGGTAAGATTAATTTCATCAGAAGATTCATTTCAAATTTGTCGGAAAGAGTTCTGTCGTTTTCTAGCTTGTTGAAGTTGAAAAATGATCAAGAATTCAAGTGGGATGACGTACAACAAAAGACGTTTGAAGAGATAAAAGAATATATGAAATGTCCACCTGTGCTGGTCCCTTCTCAGCAAGGTAAGCCTTTTAAGTTGTACATATCGGCTGATGACAAGACAATTGGATCGGCCTTGATGCAAGAGTTTAAAGAAAAAAAACGAGTTGTTTTCTATCTGAGTAGAAGGCTCTTGGATTTAGAGACAAGATATTCTCCCACTGAAAAGTTATGCTTGTGCTTATATTTCTCTTGCACTAAGTTGCGACACTACTTATTATCGGCCGAATCTACGGTTGTTTCTAAGGCTGATGTGATTAAGCACATGTTATCAATGCCAATACTGAATGGGAGAGTGGGAAAGTGGATTCTCGTGTTATCAGAATTTGACTTGAGGTACGAATCGGCTAAAGCAGTCAAAGGATAAATAATTGCCGATTTTGCCACCCAGCATCATAAGCCAAGTGTTGATTATGTAGAGCCGATGCCTTGGACGTTATTCTTTGATGGATCATCATGCAAGCAAGGTGGTGGCATTGGTATTATTATTATTATTTTGCCTCGGGAGTCAAGTTTTGAGTTTGCTATTCCAACTAAACCAATGATTACCAACAGCCAAGCAGAATATGAAGCTGTTCTTAAGGGACTTCAACTTCTTCACGAAGTAAAGGCCGAAGCAATTGAAGTATTTGGAGATTCACAGTTAATTATTAATCAGTTGATCGGCCTATATGAATGTAAAGTAGATACTCTGAGGGGATATTATGATGAATGTCAAAGGTTGCTAAAAGAGTTTCTTCATGTCTCTTTTCAACATATTCTGAGGGTACAGAATCAATAAGCTAATCGTCTAGCTCAAAGTGCTTCAGGTTATCGAGTGTTTCATGAAGTCTTGAGTAGTGAAACCTCGGGTAATGATTGGAGAATTAAAATAGCCGACTACCTTAGGAATCCAACACGGAAAGTTACTAGAAAGTTAAGGTATAAATCGACTAAGTTTGTTTTACTAGATGATCAGCTATATTATAAAACAGTCGATGGAGTGTTGTTCAAATGCTTAAATCAGAAAGAAGCTAAGGTATTAATGGGTGAAGTACATGAAGGGATATGTGGAGCTCATCAATCGGCTTATAAGATGAAATGGATTATTCACAGAACTGGATATTTCTAGCCAACGATATTGGAAGACTATTTTGAATATTACAAGTGGTGCCAGGACTGTCAACATTTTGGTAATGTCCAGAAATCACCTGCATCGGCCATGAATCCAATAATCAAGCCATGGCCGTTTCGAGGTTGGGGAATTGATTTGATTGGCCAGATTTTTCCGCCCTTAAGCAAAGGACATAAGTTCATATTGGTAGCAACAGATTACTTCACTAAATGGGTGGAGGCAATTCCTTTGAAGACGGTAACCTCAAAGAACATGGTTGATTTTGTCAAGGAACATATTGTGTATCGTTTTAGGATTACTCAAACTATAACTACCGATCAAGGGACAATGTTCACATCAAAAGGGTTCAGAGATTTTGCTACCAGTATGAGAATTGAGCTACTAAATTCTTCTCCTTACTATGCTCAGGCTAATAGCCAGGCAGAGACGTCCAATCAAATTATGATTAAGCTGATCAAGAAAAAGATTGAGGAACAGCCAAGGAAGTGGCATTCAACGCTTAATGAGGCACTATGGGCATATAGGATGGCCTATCATGGATCGATTAAAACGTCGCCTTATGAACTTGTGTATGGCCATAATGCAGTTCTTTCTTAGGAAGTTCAGACTGGATCAAGGTGTGTTATATTACAAAATGATTTGTCAGCCAAAGTCTACAAGAATCTTATGATAGATGACTTAGAGGATTTGAGTTGCCTTCGACTGCGTGCTCTTGAAAATATCAAAGCCAATAAACTGAGGGTTGCAAAATATTACAATAAAAAGGTCAAGATTAAGCAATTTTCTGATGGAGACATGGCCTGAAAAGATGAATCCAAGCGCCCATGAAGCAATGATGCTCCCGTAAAAGTTTTGAAGTATGGGCTCATGAGCTGACATAGACGATGACAAACAGTACACCTAGATCAAGATTCTCTACCCGTGACTGCGGACCTATCGGGGGTACAGACGTAATAATTTTGGAATAAAATTACTTTTATCCCAAAATTAGGGGGCATGTGTTTACCCCAAAATTTGGAAGAAGAATTGCAGGGACTTGGAAGCTCCCAAGATCATGTCATCATGGAATCAATTGCGTGAAGGTCGGTATCAGCTGATTCGAATGCAACACTAGAATCAACTTTCTTCGGATAGTGCCAGCAGATAACGACAAAAGCTACGATCGGCGCCAGAAAAAACATGTGGACTCTACAAAAAGGGAAATATTAGAGTCCAAGTTATCTTAAATTAGGAATGTTTTCTCTTAGACCAAAATGGTGATGAGTCGTGCTTAAGTATGATTCATGCGTAGGTTCCGGGTATAAATATTAGACCCTAGCTATTGTAAAGAAGACACAATCAATCAAATACAAGTTACTTACTTTTTTTTGGCTTCGGCCACCCCTTAGGAGTAGGAGTAGAGTAGATCTCGGCAAGTTCTTCAGCGAGCAGGGCTGCATCGGTCTGGCCGACCTCCGGCTTGTTTGTAAGTACCGTCATGGCTTATACTTCTGTTCGTACGGCTGCATCGATCCGGTCGACCTTCACTGCGACTTTGGTATACGCTAGTTATCGACTCTTGTTTAGTTAAAGTACGGCTGCATCGATCCGATCGACCTTCACTGCTCGAACTAGATTAAGGTCAAGTTATCGGCTCTATCTAAGGGTGGTGTCCTTCGGATAGATTCATTAAGTTACCAATATTGCTTATTGCTTTCATTATTTATTTAATTACAGTAATATCACTTCGCCTGATTGGGATTGATCGGCCTTATATCCTGTTTAACCCATCGTTTATTAATCTAAACTGATATAATATGCATCTTAAACGATGAGTTATGTTTTATCTGCTGTTTTATGTCAATCTTGATCATGCATAGTGTGCGGTTAAGACATGTCTGGTCTTGAATAGATCTATTGGCTAACGAAAACCGTTCCATGGCCCGTTATCACGGTCTATGTGATCCTGCCTCACACCCCACTGTTAGCACCGTGGAGTGGAGATCGTTACTTGGTAGATCTGTTCCTAATAGGGCATGACCTTAACTATGCGCTATGCCTGAATCGGCTATTTTAGCCGATATTGAGTGCCTTCACATATGCAGTTCACGTCACGAGATCGTTGAAGTAAAGATAGGTTGAAAGATGTGTTAACCCCATGATCTTATTATTGTATTACGGGCTGCATGATTCTGCCTCATGCCCCGCTGATATTAGTAATAAGTTAGGGTCGTCGAATTTATCATTGTTTCTACGGCCTGCATGATTCTGCCTCATGCCCTACTGGTCATAACGATAGACGAGATCTAATATGTTCATTAGATTTATCTCTATTAAATGGTTAAATGATGATGAACTGCTTCTTTTGTATAAAAAGGGATTCAGTTACTTGCAGTCATTGGCTTAGCATAAACTAATTATTGTTGACATCCTATTGCCATTAACTAATATTTATCTAAATAACGATATTCATCCTGAATTATAATCAATTTTTCTTCCACAACCCATGAGCTTTAACTGATTTATTCTTATGAGTATGCTGGAATCGGGTATTTAGTCGATTTCCTTCCACATTGGCTCTCAGAGCCGCATATTCGGGACTGTCTGGCAACACCGGCATGTTCCGCCTTAAATTACTAATTAGCTTTCTCTCCTTGTCAATTGCAGGGTCAAATTGACTGGCACGTCTTGGGAGGAGTGCGCAGGATCGATAATCCCTGCGTTGAAGCTAGGCGGATCTCCAGCTCCATCGAGCGGACCCTTCCGGCTTGCTCGTATGCCCCGGCACGGAACGAAATTTCGTGTCGACAGATATTTCGTTAGACCTTTAAACATCCCACAAACATGGGGTATAATGGCTTGGACACAAAGTATTCTT